TTTTTTTGTGGCAGCGCCATCGCGAAATTTTTGGATATAGGTTTTTGGCATATTTAATTAAACTTTTAGTAAATCTGACAAAACAGCAGACAATTTAAAGCTTAGCGCTCAAATGATACTCGATCACTTTTGATGAATTTGTGAACTGCTTATTGTTGACTACTATTCACATATTTGTGTGATTTATCGATATTGTTATGATATAATAGCAATTAAAAAAAAAAATTGCAAACTCAAATTGAAAATTGCTAAATCTAGCAACTTAATGGCTAAAATGGCAGCACTGCTACCAACACCGTACATACATACATACGACGCAACAACATTGCAGACGTTTCTTCCAACCAAGCACTGTTAGAAAACTCACTCTATCACTCAATCGTGAAGAACGTATGCACAAAACAATACAACTGAAAACGCTCAAACCCTTCTATTCACCTCGAGCACCAACACACGCGCGCACGCACGCTCACAGGCAAGTGAGAGCGACAGCCACTGTTAAAAGACATCACTCAATCGTGAGCGGCAATCTTACTTTTCACCTTACAGCGCAAGCTCACCATGCGCATTGCGCACTGTTAATAAGCACATCACTTAAGCTTGAGCTGCTAGCAGCAGAATCAAAATAGAATTACCAGCCGAACAGTGCACATCGTTATGCTCATCAAGCAGGAGTCAGCAAATAATTGTTCCGGTTTTCGATGTTACATCGATGTTTGCGCGGTATATTCAAAATTATTGATTTGTGTCAATTTGTTTATATTCTTTCAGGATACAGGGCTTAATAAAATAAAAAAAAATAAACATTTTAGTAACAACTTTTAATTTCTTAATTTATTTATAAACTTCAATTATATTCAAATAATTATTAACAACAAGTAAGAAATCTCTAGTCGAGACTGCTTGATTACGAGATTCCCTGAACCCTTCGAGCAACAGCTATTTCAATAATTTTTCGCGAATTTCTGCTTACAGCACACACAGGTGGTCTCTACCTCTTATATCTTCTGAAATCGACGCATGCATACATATAGACAGAGGCCAAATCCTCTCAGCGACGAGCCCCTAATCAAGAATATATATACTTTGTGGGGTCTGCCACGCCTCGTTCTGCCTGTTACATACATTTCAACAAAACCATTATACCCATTTTCAATGGGTTCAGGAAATAAAAATAGTACTTTCATTTCGTTTAAGGCTTTTAGGATACATAATTTACTTCAATAATTAAGTCAATTCGAGATCAAGTAGCTTCATGTTTTTATTGAGGAACAATAGTTTATTTACTACTTTTGGGTTCCAAAAACAGCGGAGATCTGATATAATTTCTTAGCCATATTTTTCAAGGAGTTTTAAGCGGTGGGACAAACCTAAAAATTGTTTTTTTTTTTTTAATTCGTAATTTCAGTTAATGAACAAATTTCATCATCTTACCTTCCAATATTCCAGTGAATTTCATTCCTCTGGCGTAAAGGAAAATTCTAAATGCTGCCGCAAGATGATTATGACACTACTATTTGAGGTCGACCCTTTTCTTTGTAGTTTGTCCTTCATAAAGAAAAACCGTACTGGATCTGGTGTTGGGGGAGTTCGTTGAGAAATTCTCGTTGCTTTGCACACTTCCTGGGACAGTTCATCCTCTAGGGCATTTGAAGCATTACAAAATACATCCTTTTTAAAACGCGGATCGATAATAGTTGCAATTCTAGGCATGGTGCGTGTCTCATACTGGAAAAGACGCGCAGGGAAATTTTTACGAACTTTTTATACCCTGAACCCATTGAAAATGGGAAATCAGGGTATAATGGTTTTGTTGAAATGTATGTAACAGGCAGAAGGAGGCGTGGCAGACCCCACAAAGTATATATATTCTTGATCAGGGTGACGAGCTGAGTTAATTTGGCCCTGTCCGTCTGTCTGTCTGTCCGTCTGTCCGTCTGTCCGTCTGTCCGTATGTTTGAACGCGTCGATTTCCGAAGATATAAGAGCTAGAGACTTCAAATTTTTTGTAAAATGTTCGTAATTACANGCAGCATATCTACTTGCTGCGGCTTGAGACAACTCCTTTTCTCATTTACTATGTGTCCAGCTTACGTGGTATCTCCTCCTCTCCATTTTCCTTATCCGCGTCGCAATCTACAAACAAATGCGTGTTTGTTACATTATTTTAAAACGCAAAAGCTGCAGACCACGTGTGTGGCTGACATAAGCAGTAAAATAATATTTACCTTCGCCATTGTCCTTGCTCTTTAAAAACTTATCCATTTCTCTACAACACTACCAACACCAAAATCCTAAATGAAAAGTGGGTTACGTTAGTATTTGAATTATATTGTTAAAATAATTTGCAAATTACCTGACAGTCTTATCCCACGCTTTTAATTCAAGTGATGGGGAATTAATGGTATAGTGATGGCGATATATCAAGTATCGAAGTTTTCTACATCGATATTTTCGATGGATATGAAACATCGATATATCGTTTGCTAGATCGATCTTTTTCCCAGCACTAGTCTGCGTCGCTGCTGCCAGAATTCCGAGGATTGCTTCTGTGTCAATTCTTGGACCACGAACCGTTGATTTGTTGCAGCAACATTCTGTAACTCTGCCGACGCCTCGCCTTTGCGTCGTCGGCTTATGTTGCTGATGTTTGGTATTGCAACATAGTTGCCAAGTTGCTTACCGGGCAAGGCGTAGTGGCTTAGCGGGGGGAATGTCGAGGGGTGCCGGGACGGTAACTCGCGCTTTGGCGCTTTTTCTACCAATTATCTTTGTAACTTACGTACTACCCAATTTTATACTATGAGCTTACATACTACAAGCTAGCCTACAGCTGATGTTCTATAAAACTGTGAGGCGGTGAGCCTTGCACAACACAGTTGCCTCGCAATCCTAAAGTCTGTCATTCATACACCTTCACACTTTTCTCTAGCGAAATTTTCTCGGTCATGTGATAAAATGCCTGCAAAATAGGAAGAACTCCATGAATTAAATTCCACTCTTCTGGTGACATTATTAAATCGGTTTGCTTCGACAGCGCTGCCACCACAGCCTCCCTTGAGAAAGACCACTAACCAGTGGAAAGACAGTCTTTGAAACATTTGAAATGTTGAATTCCAATATGTAGGTACGTCTTGGTTTATTTTTAGTTTAGGCAACTTAATTGGCTAAAATATTCAGCAATCGCTTTAGTTTTTGTGCGTACGCAATATATTTTGAGCGATCAAATTTACTGCGCTGATCTGCAATAGCACTTGCGTTCTCATCCCGAATTTTGGGGAGCAAAACATCCGGCAACGTCTTCCTTGTCAGAGGGTATAGCCTGGGGAGTGTGAGTAATAAGTTTTTGGAACTCAGGTGTCTCCAACATTGTCAAAGCATGGTGACATTAAAAAATTATTTTGACCAAGTGCCTATCAATCTGCAAAGATTTTCCCGCTGGAATTGGCCTTCGGTGTGATTTTTGGTTGTGTATTTTCCAGAACAACTCAGCTTTCCTCATTTTGTAGTATAATGGTCTCAACCGCTGCTGTATGCTTGTCTATATAATTGCCTTGGGACTTGCAGCTTAAGACACTTTTGCAAATCTTGCATTTAGCCTGTTGCGTTTCCATGACCTCAAAATTATTCAAAATTTCACTGTGCTTCCTAATCAACGAAATTTCCAGAGCCATACATATGTCTATCAACAATGCTATTTCAGGACCCAGGCTTGATGAGCAAGAAATTTCTCGCAGGAAACGGCGGTCAAGGCCGGCAGCAGGAGACTGCTCCGAAATGCTAAATCAAAACTGCGTGGAGCTAACTCCGATGTATATCCCGCGAAGAAGGTTTCCGGGGTATTCCTCGTGTATGGCAAGACCCACTGACAAAACAAAAGGGCTTTTAGTCGCCAAGACTCGCAGCGAGAAGAATTAAATTGCCAATATGTTAATCACTTAAAGCATTTGCTGCAGTAATGCCGTAAGGAGCAGTATGTTTTAAGCAGTAGAATCGGAAGATCGTTTTTAACTTTTTAATATGAATAAAATATTTTATCTGTTCCACAACCTGAGGCCAGCCTCAGGCTCAGCAATAGTTGAAAAACGAACCGAACTTATACTTCCATTTATAGCTTACAAAGACCGTTGGAAAGGATGATTCCCCTGTATCCTCATATGCATATTAATATTACCTATTTGAATGCTGTCTAATTATGTTTATTGCCCTCCTGGATTAAGCTCTTTTATTTCTAAATTTTCTTGACCCTCCTGCGCCTCAGTATTTACAAGCACTCGAAAAAGAGCATTGTCTTCCGCTGTTGCAAAGAATGATATACTTTGTGGGACTCTGCTTCTGGTAAAGCTCTGTTGACATTTAAAAGCGCATGGAGGTAATACATATATTTAAGTGGCCTAATGGTTTCAGGCATGAAGTCATGGTTATATTTCATTCCTCGTTAAAGGTGAACAACGTCGGCTTCATTACCTTTGGAGTGATGGGACGATGTGTAAGCTCGGAACATTAACAACAGCTCCTTATATTGCACTCTGACGCTCATTCAATAAAGATTTTATAATCATGAATGGAAATCATGGAGACATTAGATGTGCTTCCAAAGGAATGATTATTAATGAATGATTATTATTAATATCTACCAAACGAATTCTTGTGGGGTGTTCGAATACGGAGTACTTTGATGAGATGCCTTATTAATTACTATATTTCTTCTAGCATATAGTCTTTTACAAATTTATTTTAAAAAAACGAGTAATTATATAAAATGGGAATATTTAAGTGAAGAAACATTATTTTCATTATTATCATTATTATCTTACACCTTTTATGATTAATAAGGTTCTTAGCAACCGGAAATGATATTCGTAGAGAGATCCGAGGTTCCGTGAGACTGTTGTGGGATGTGGCATTAACGATTCAAGATTAACATTTTCTCCGAATTTCTCACCAATAGATATAAAAAATTGGAACATGTTTCCCCAATAATATTAAAGGTCCAATTGGACCTGAATCTCTACTAATATTAAAGGATCGTCAATTCTTTACTGTCCATTCAGTTGCTAACTTAATGCACATTTTTTTTGGACTCGACGTCTACATCAACTTCAGGATGGTTGCCCCTACGACTATTAGCCATTACATAGCATTTGGGTTAAACTAAATTTGATGTGCTCTTCCCAAACTTATACACATTTTTACATGTATTGCACACCACTACATCATGGTTTTCTATGCCGGTTTCATCGACTATTCGAGAAAATGTGTCCCAAAAGTTACTTCGACCTTGTTTAATAGATGGATACAGCTCATTTGCTAATAATTTTGATTTTATATTAGCTGCGTATTGCTTAATATCTATTCCCGTATTTAAAGTAAAAACTCAGATAAAAATTGAAGGCGACATAAATAAACATACATACATACAAACACAATTCACGATTTTACATACAGTTTGTCAAGAAACACTTTACACAGTGGAAAAAAGCTCATTTTTGTATTACAAAAATAAAGTTTTTGTTTAATTTAGCTATTTTTTTTTCAATGGTTAACTGTTTAATAGGTATTTTTAAGTCAAATTATAAAAAACAGAAACAAAAACAATAAGGGTGAAACTTAAAAAACAACAAAAACTTAGACACTGACACTGTCAAGAAACTCTTTACACACTTCATATATATTGTTCTAAATGTAAAATGTAAAACTAATTATAGTTAATTTTGAAAAACTTAGTGTATAGTATGGCCCCCTTAATATTTAAAAAAAACTTTCAATAAATGCGAATAAAGGGTTTTTTTTTTTTTAAATATCTACTTTTTGCGTTTGCATCATTTTCATTAGCAACCATAGCAGAGCAGTTCAAAATATCTTTACAGCTGTTTTTAATCACATTTACTATACTCATATTGAAGTTTGGTGTACAACGTTTGGAAAAGAGACAAAAACTGCACTCATTTAAGAAGAGTACAGCTATTACGATCACTATAAGTGTGACTAGTATAAAAGTTGTACAGAATTTTTCTTGACAGTTGAATATATTGTACAGTACTTTTAAGCACATTTTACTACTGCACAGTACTATGGTTTTGGAAATGAAAACATTCATGCAGATCTGTGATAGATATGTATAAAAAATCTGAAGGAACTGTTGCATCACACCTGCTTTCATTTGCCTCTCGTGAAATTTTGTCCACTTGGTAAGCAACAAAAGCCGACCTGATCATGTCTACAGTTTGAATAAGTGAGAAAGGAAGGAGAAACAGCTCTTTCGCGCATACTGTGGAAGCTTGATTGTTTGCTTGGGACTTTGTTCAAAACTCGACCATCTCGGCTGAGCGCTTGAAGCGAAATGATTTTGCTTTCCCAAATTGTCGTAGCCCGAGTTTGAATATAAGGGCCCGAGCAAATACGAAGTTGAGTAGTAGTGGTAATAATAAAATTATACTGTGCAAAAAACTGTTTTCGACGAGTCTATGTGTTACATACATATCTACATATATATTTACATACATACATATATGCACTTGCACTTATGTATTTATGTATGTATGTACTCTCTATCTTCATACCACACATAAGCAAATTAACAGCACTTGCTGTTAACAGCATTAAGTTTCCAGCTGTAAATTATTTCTTCATTTGGCATGCTTTACTCAGTTCTATGAATTTTAACGGAACTACCAATTTTTAAATTCACTACGTAACATGGAAGCATAATGTTGATTCTTGGAGATCTGATTGCGTAGCCTGTGGGTCAAAAAAGTAACTTTTTTAATTTTTTTTAGCACAGCTATAAATATTAGAATCAAGTATTCTAATAATATTGAACACAACAAAAATTAAATTTCTGCTTTGGTTCACTTCCATAGTACTTAAATATGTACATATATAAAATATAAATATAGGCACCAATTTTCATCAACAAAGTTTTGGCACAAGAGGCTTAGTCAATACAACATCGTCACTGAATTACGCTAGTACTTTGTTGGTCCTCCGTTTGACTGAATAACCGCCTGCAAATGTCTCTTCATGCTACTTATTGGTGTTTACGTTTCATAAGTGGTGGTTTTGGTTTATTTAGCCCGTAGCCTACGCGGCGTAGGGCCTCTTTTAAAGAAATTTTAAAGTTATGCATTGTATATGTATGTATGTATTTACATGCATATGTATGTAGTTAAATTTGTTTCTTTGTTGAAAACATTTTAAAGCAGCTTTGTACTTAGTTATTTCCTTTGTGCGATGTGGAGATTTCGCCCCAAGTATTATCGTAAATTTACATTTCAAAATAGCTAAAGTTTCCGCCTGCAGCAGTATCAGATTTATTACCGACAGGAAAATAGCTAGTACGGAACACTACTGTACCGAACAACTACGCATGCACACATACTTATGTAAGTTTACATACCTAGGAGCATACGCACTGTTAAAAGACGCACAAGAGTGAGTGAGACTCAATCAGGCGAGAGAGTGAAA